ATCAAGCTTTTGTTTTGGTTTTGGGGGTATCGCTACATTTCTGGTTACAATCTCAACAGAAATCTGAGCTATTTTCTTGTCATGGGGAGGACAGAAAATGAGACCGGAAAAGTATTGAGATTGGGAAAACGAATTAGCAAAACTTGAAAAGACACTTATGTAAATATACAGTTTAAAAAGGTTGGGGGCAAAAGAATTACATTCATGAGTGCCAGATTCCACTCAACATACTGCGGAATCTGTTCGTGGATAGCTTCCTCACAAGCCTCTTGGCATCTGATGAAACTTCAGCTTCTGCAAGTTTCTCTATGTTTTTGGCATACCCAGAGCTCACAATCTTTTTTCTCCCACTGTTACAACTTGTTAATGACATTAAGATAGAGATTAGGAACTTCTTGTGACTTGAATTTCCCTCTTTTGGATCAAGCAGTTGGAGAAGAAGAGCGATGTTTTGGTCATCCCGCACAAATTTCTTTCTGTTCTTGGGCACCATAACCATGGCAGAGAGGGCCTCAGCTGCCATTTCACGAACTTCGAATGATTTTGCATTCAGAAACTTAACAAGCTCTGGCATGAAACCTGCATCGCCCATGGCTTTCCTAGCCTCCTCTGATGTTCCACAGAAGCTGAACGCTACTTTCAGAGCCAATTCTTGGATGGAAACCTCCCCATTACGAATATAATATAGCAGTTGATCCACAAAGCCATAACTCATTAATATACTTACAGAACTAGATGACGAAAAACACAAGTTTTCAATAGCTCTCATTGCTATCTCCCGGGTTTTGGAAGAACATGAACATTTAGGATCCAGAATACGTAATAAAGCCCGAATTCCACCTTCTCTAATCACCATTTGCCTAACCTGTTCATCTCCAGAGGCTATACTTTGAATAAATTGTATGGAATTTACCTGACTCGCTTCGTCCCTGGATTTCACAAGCCTGATAAACGTAGAAACCGCACCTTCTTCAACCATGAATCTCTTTATTTCTTCAACGCCTACGAGATTTCTCAGTACCCCACAAGCAGGACCAACCAATTCTCCTTTGGGCTCTCCATTAGAGCAGATTTTGAGCAAGCAAGTGACCCCTCCATGAGCTGAAACCGACCAAGCATTGTCTGAATTGAACGTTAGTTTCATCAAACACCTGGCAGCCCCGATCTTCCCTGACTCACTCCCACATTCCAAAACGCGGATCAGAGGAGCAATAATCCCAGATGTGATCAGAACCCCTCTGTAGGAATCAAAGCCTGCGATAACAGAGAGCACCTTGGCAGATTCTTCCTGGATTTCCATCTCCGGCGAATCAAGAAAATTTACTAGAAGATGAACAACATCTCCTATTTCCACAATCACTTTCACATACTTTTCGTCTTCCTCTACAGCTTCGTGCAGATTAATCAGGGCCTGCCTCTTCATTCCCACATCGCCAATCTTCATTCTCGTCAGCAAGTCCCTCGTGTAAAACCTCATATCATCTTTGCAAGCTCCAAGACTAGGCCTCGAAACAACGAGGGCATACTTGTGAGTCAAAATACCAGCTGAGTATACCTCTGATAGCTTCTTCGCGTGACAAGCGAACCTGGCGAACATCACATCCAAATCGCTCTGCATCAAAAGCTTCCCGCTGTACGAAAGATCAACGCAACGGCGAGCGAGATCATGGCACTCGTTCACGGTGGCCAGTATCGCAGGAACCAGACCGGAGAGCGATGGGTGCTCGCCGGAATCGCAGTCCTCTGCGGCGATTAGCCCTGAATGGAGCTCCTCGAGCTTGTTCCGAATCAGTTGCCATTTTGCCGCGAAGACCCTGACTGAATGGGAAAGAGAAATCAAGGAAGATATAAGCTTGACAGCTCGCGCGATATTGGAACCTCCGGCGAACGATTCCAGCGAATCCTGGTCTGCTATAGATTTTCTACCTCCCTCTTCTCCACCCATTTTTTCGTTTTTTTCACTGGTTCTGAAACAAACCCATTTCCAGGGTCAAATCCCAGTGAAGATTCCGGCAAGAAAAATGGCAGCTTGGAGAGAGTATGGAATCTCTGAAAAACGATCTTATCACCAAGAAACAAAGAGAAGCTCTGACTTACAGATCTATGCTTATCCTTAGATTGTAGCAGATAACGGGTTGGACTATGGGACACTAATTTACACAGATACCCTTGACGATCACCCAGATAAAGGAGCTAGGTGGCGGAAAAAGGTCGGGGCAATTGTGACATTGTCTTTGATGAGTAGGGCTCCACGATCTGTTGAGGGTTGGAAGTTTGTTTAAAGACGGAGAAAGAGGGTGGAATGGAGACAACAAACAAAGGAACACGGTGGCGATTCTAAAGATGGATTTGTCTCTTGAACATTAAAATATTAGAACACTGCGTAAACATAGGACAGAAAGTGAAGTAATATATGAATCAGACAAGTGAGGTGGAAGCAATGCATGCATGATTATACATTACATTACAAAAATCGTATATAAAATATTTTATTTGTTTTGTTGTAACACACATGAAAGTTATATCAGTTAACAGTTATTTAACAGGGAAAATCACTAACAGGTCCTATAGAAGGCAATTTATTACTCTGAGGTCCCACGAAATGTCAAAATCACTGATAGGTCCCAAGGGACCTTAGAGTAATATTTTCATTTTGTAAATTGACATTACTGCCCCTCATATTCCAGATTCACATTTGCTCTGTCATTACGATTTACAACCTCAGCAGCGACTATTAACAACCTAATGAGAGGGCATTAACAACCCTAGCAGTATCCGTTAACAACTTACTTTATAGAATTATATAACCTCTACATAAGAGTAAATTATAACCAAATAATATAATACAACAACTTTAACACTAAAATGGGAAGCTTTTTGATATCATTAAGAATTTTAACTAGATCCAATAGGATTATAGTAATATTTTAATGCGAATATCCATTTACAATCTCAACAGCGATTATTAACAACCGAATGAAAGAGCATTAACAACCTAAGCAATAACCGTTAACAACTTACTTTATAGAATTATATAACCTCTGCATAAGAGTAAATTATAACCAAATAGTATAATACAACAACTTTAACACTAAAATGGGAAGCTTTTTGATATCATTAAGAATTTTAACTAAATCCAATAGGATTATAGTAATATTTTAATGCGAATATCCATTTACAATCTCAACAGCGATTATTAACAACCGAATGAGAGGGCATTAACAACCTAAGCAGTAGCCGTTAACAATTTACTTTATAGAATTATATAACCTCCACGTAAGAGTAAATTATAACCAAATAGTATAATACAACAACTTTAACACTAAAATGGAAAGCTTTTTGATATCATTAAGAATTTTAACCAAACCCAATAGGATTATAGCAACATTTTAATGCGAAAATCCATTTACAACCTCAACAGTAAGTATTAATAACTTAAGGAGAATTGTTAACAATCTTAGCAGTGTCTGTTAACAACTAACTTTATTGGATAATATAACTTCTAATTATAACTAACTAAACTATAACTAAATAGTCTTAAAGTTAATCTTATATAGTTGTTAGAGGTTATATTATCCTATAAAGTCAATTGTTAATAGATACTGCCTAGATTGTCAACAGCTCTCTTTGGGTTATTAATACTCACCATTGAGGTTGTAAATGGATCTTCGCATTAAAATGTTGCTATAATCCTATTGGGTTTAGTTAAAATTCTTAATGATATCAAAAAGCTTCCCATTTTAGTATTAAAGTTGTTGTATTATACTATTTGGTTATAATTTACACTTATGCGGAGGTTATATATTCTATAAAGTAAGTTGTTAACTGATACTGCTTAGGTTGTTAATGCCTTCTCATTCGGTTGTTAATAGTTACTGTTGAGGTTGTAAATGGATATTCGTATTAAAATATTACTATAATCCTATTGGATCTAGTTAAAATTCTTAATGATATCAAAAAGCTTCCCATTTTAGTGTTAAAGTTGTTGTATTATATTATTTGGTTATAATTTACTCTTATGTAGAGGTTATATAATTCTATAAAGTAAGTTGTTAACGGATACTGCTAGGGTTGTTAACGCCCTCTCATTAGGTTGTTAATAGTCGCTGCTGAGGTTGTAAATCGTAATGACAGAGCAAATGTGAATCTGGAATATGAGGGGCAGTAATGTCATTTTACAAAACGAAAATATTACTCTGAGGTCCCTTGGGACCTGTTAGTGATTTTGACATTTTGTGGGACCTCAGAGTAATAAATTGCCTTCTATGGGACCTGTTAGTGATTTTCCCTATTTAATAGCAGATTTTATTAGTTAACGGTTTCTTTTATACCCCGTGCCATATTAAAAGTTTACTTCCATTGTAAAAGTTCAACATGATTAATTAAGGATGTGCTTATGGTAATCTGTGGCAACCAGCAAGGAGCCAAGGACGAGCCATGGTTGTATTTGACTAATTATTAATTATTCTCTCAGTTAAATTATTTAATAATTATTCGTTCAAAAGTTTTTTTTATTAAAAAAACTAATATATAATCCTTTATCTATAATCAATTATTCAATCAACTTTTTTAAATCCTGTAGGTGGCTATTTTTTGTTTTCGGTGAGAAAAAACTTTACCTGCTCCCATGACCAAAATTCCAAAAGAATACAATAAATGAAGTCAATACAATCAAATTCCTTATGTTATACCTGTGTCATTATATGGGCAATATACAGGATATGACATTACAAGATCAAAGAGAAGCAACTAAGTGAAATTAACAGGAAAGAGAGTAAATGGAAGCAGAGATATGTGCATGGACCACTCTCTAATGAGGACACAAGAGCTTTGATTAGGTAAGCAAAAGCAAATGGGTAGCTTTCAATGAGAAATGAGAGTCACAAGCGCACAACCCCACCCCCCACCACCATGTGAAGAACCCCTTTCTGGGATGCCTTGAGCCTCTCTCTCTCTCTCCCCCCTCTCCTTGCTCCACCTTTTGCATTGGAAGTGGCACTCAATAAATCTCTTAACTAATTCAGAGAAAGTTGCTTCCTTTTTCATCCCCTTTTTGTGCCTTGCGAGCTTCCCTACCCAACAAACGCCAAAAAAATAAAAAGGGTTCTTCTCTACTCTGCCTTCATCCTCACTAGACAGAGGTTTCCCCAGATGGGATTTCAGCCGCAAGATCATCAAATCCTCAATCACATTGTGGGATGCCTGTATCTTAAAAAGTGAGCATCTTTCATCATATAATTTCATTAGATGAGTAAGTAGTGTAGTAGACAAGGAGGGTTCACGAGAGAGAGAGAGAGAGAGCGCCAGGCTGGTCCAAAGCAAAAGAGTAAAGCTGCCACTTGTCATGACAATCCCTAGAAAAGCTTGAAGATATTGACCATTATTCCCCACCGAGAGCATGAACTTTTGCAGGATTTTATGGGGGAAATTTGGCGCGGTACAGAGTATCACGGCACCTCGTTTTAATCCTTGGCACACCATCAATGAGATATTAGGTAATTTTTATTTTTCGCTTGAATGACCCGTGATGTGATACTGATCCACTGTAGGCTTTGCACATACACTGTTCGATTAAATGACAAAATTGAGAATTCCCTTTACTCTGCTGCTCACGGATTCTAATTCCATTTTCTTTGGGGTAACGTGGCCTTGCATACTTTGCCTTTCCTAGACCAATCCTCTAGGTCTAGAGTCATTCAGTAAAAGTAAAATACGCTTGCTTATTGCAAAATCTCAAAAAAAGTTGAGCCTTTGGGGTCGCTGGGCCAACCTGCTCATCAAGCTAAAGTAGTAAAAATTCCCATTAGAAAATATTATTTCTTCCCCATTAAGCATAATTGCTTGCTGTGTGCAGTTTTCCACATGCCTCAATCCAAGGGCCAGAGGGGCCCGTATCTTGCACAAATGCCAATCTGCGTAGATTTGTTTATATAACTCCGTCCCATAAAACATGTTGATGGATTTGTTAAATGTGTTAAAACCTGTCTGTTTCTTAGATTAGTTTATTTGTTCTTTTGTAAATCAAATTTACCCAAGGCATTCTCCTTTCACTTTATATTAGCTTTTATATTTCATTGTAGACAACATGGGTCCTCTGCTCTCTTGTCCAAACTAGTCTCATTCATCTGAGCTATCCTAATTCCCAAGTTACTATTTATCATATAAAGCGATCGTCAAAAATTCAAATTTTAGCTGCCTGTGGCTTCCTTCCTCTTTCCAGTATAATTTAGTTTGAAAGTTAAACCAGTAGTAATGATGATCACGGATCATTGGTTTTGTTAGCTGGAGAAGTTCAACATTCACTGCATGACCAATAGGATTAATGTTGAAGTCTTCCAAATGTGTGCTATTTTTCTTCTTTCTTTTTTCCTTCCCTTTTATATGTTAGGTAGAGAAGGCCACTCATAGGCAAAAGCAATATACTGTGTTGCCTTTGAGTATGGAAGAAGTGAAATTGAAGGATTCAGCTAAGGTCTGAAAATACCTTAGCTTTGAAGAGAAAAAGAAATATTAAACGATATCTTTTGCACAGAGAGGCAAGATGATTCCTAACCAATATAACAAAAAAAGAGTAAAACAATGAAACTGAAGATTGCTTGATAAGGTTGTATGATTCTTGAAGTAGTTCTGTATGATGAAATAAATGGGTCATATAATAATCATTCCACCTATCACTGGAGGGGGGAAAAAAAAAAGAGCAATAATTGTCATTATGAATTGATTTGGGGATTAAGCAATGGAAAATAGTTGAAAATGATGTCAAATATTGTTATAATAAAATTCAAATTAGATGATAGTCTCTATTATTAGCCTTTTCTTAAGCAGGTTGCTTGAAATTGATATAAATTGTATCTTCTTGAGCTAAAAGACGTAGGATCAGATTTGAGAATCTTCAGGTTTTCAACCTCGATTTGAAGCATGAAAGGGGCTTATTTGGATTGAATTATTCATTGATATTGACACTGCCATATGATACTCTTGTATATGGAATCTTCTCTCTCCCTTTTGGACCCCATAAAATTGACAGAAACCTTAGAAGCGAAAAAAAATGGAGATGGAACCGACCACACTTAGTCGCGGCTGTTAGGTAGTATTACTGTTTTTCTTGATTATAACTTTCACATGGGACATTAATGGCGTACTCAGGTCTCTATTATATTATATTACATATGCTTAACCCTTAAAGTCAACAAAATTACATCCTTAATTACTCAAAGCTTGGTTTTTTCCCCTTGAATTAAAGAAATATAAACAGAGAACATGTTGCAATTTTTCTTGTTTTTCCTGCTTTCCTGATCTTCTTCTTCTTCCTTTACTAACCCTGTTTTTAGCACATGCATGATGTCCAAAGCAGCAAAAAATTGAGCTTGAGAATAGTGACTTGAACTCGATGAGTAGAAGCAACAGGTGTAGCTATTTGAATTAAAACCCAGTCTGTTTCACTGTTTTTGACCAATTATCATCATCATCATCATCATTATAATAGCACTGTGACTAGGTGAAGTTAGTGCTTTTCTGTTTCTACAACTTATACTGCAAGAAAATGATGTGTCTGGAGATCATGGGATGGGTCCTGCATGACCAAAAGGCTGATACGGTTATTATCAATTATTAGCCAGAAATGTGATTAAGATGGCTTACCATAAGTATACTTATGCTGCTATGATTCACTAAATGGTGATATGTGCATATAGGGATAAGAGCAGTAGTAGTACACACCTATAGACATTAATAAACTGTTGCATGATCGAATACTAAGCATGCATATCAGAAAATGGACCTCTTGCCTAACCTGATTTTGAAGTGATTATCTCTTTAAATTTGAGTTAGATGATGATTGTGGTAGGGCCAGCTCTAAAGAATGTGGGACCTACAGATATTAAGCATGGCAGGTAATAATCGTGTGGAAGTACAAAGCTGCAATATTTGAAAGACGTTTGATGTTCTGCTTGCTCAAGCAGTTAATTATGAGACGGTGAGGGGTTTCTTTAAGAAGATCATTTTTAGAAGCAAAAGATTGAACAGAAGAAGGCGGCAAAAGGCCATTTTAGTCACTATAGTTTTTTCTCCAAGTTTTGATTTGACCTCAAAAATTAATTTTTGGTGTAGCATTGTATTTGAGCTCCAAACGAAAAAAGTTAATATAATATCTTTCCACATTTCCATTAACTCCAGTAACGGATGTAAGCATTTTTGGTGGATTGCATGCCTTAAAGCCCAAAAATAAAATTAAAAACGCTCCCCCCCCCCAAAAAAACAAATTCTTCTTTTTTTTTTTCAAAAGATGAAAAGTAATTTTGGTATTAAATATAAGATTTGTAGCATAAACCTTAGAATGCGTGTAAGAGTTATGCCGAGCACTTGTGCCAACGAAATTTATATAAAAAGGTATTAATGCACATTTATTAAATTTATGAAAATGATGTTGATCTAAAATATAGGATTGAGCGACCAATCTTAAAAATTTGATATTATAGCAATTTCTCAACCGCTGTTGGCTTGGGAAAAAATATTTACAAACTGTTGTGCTCAAGCATGCCTTATTACTTGAACCAAGTTTTGCCAGTACTTAATTGGATTGAATGTTTTAAAAGTTCAAGATATGGTGTAGATATTATATTTCATATTAGCAAGGAATTTATGTGTATATATGCTCGGAATGAAACAAGATGGAAAGGAAATGAAGTTTTTCACACAAATAAATTGATGGTTTAGTCTTGAAAGATAACGTTTTCTTTTTTCAATTCATTCATAAATCTATCAACTCATCAGATTTAAGTTTAATTCTAGTTTTCCTATAGAATATATTTTAACAAAAAAATCAATTAGCATTTCACAACAAAAGCATGATTCAAAATTAAATTAAAAATATTATCATGAATTCTTTTTAAAACCTTCACGAGTTCACATAGAGCTGATAAAACGAGCCAGCCCACTGCGGGCTTGAGACCATGCTAGCCGGTCCTAAAAAAATCGCGTCCTGGCAGGCTCACATTTTGCTAGCTCATCCCGCCAAGCCTGCCAACCTTCATCTTTTTTTAAAAAAATTTTTCTACACATATATTTAACATTTTTTAAATTAAATTATAAATTTTTATAGGCCAAATTCTTCTTATTCTTATATTTTTGTATAATTATATAATTAAATTAATCTCAAAAGTTGAAATATAAACATATAATTCATTGTTAATATTTATTTTATTAGTATAAAAATAGTAAAACAATAAAAAAATAAGAAATCAAATTTAGAATCAAAGTCTTAACAAAATATAAGGTTATATGTAAATTAAGTGAAAATGATAAAACTTTTGTATTAAAATTAAAATTAAAATTGTAAAAAAAAATTAAAAAAAAAATTAAAGAGCTGGTGGGCTGAAAAGAACCGCATCAAAATAGTCTCTATTTTTTTCAATCCAATCCATCACCTTATGGGTGGTTGGCGGGTTGAACTCGCAAGCTCAACCCATACTACCCACTCTAAGTTCACAGATTAAACACGATTCTAACATGATTCCAACCTCCCAACTCGGGATCTCCTTGTAGTTCGATCTTTACATTGATATTATGTTATTTATGATATGGATAATATAAGACTAAGCAAATTACTGAAAGAAGGATATGTTTTACTTTTCTGATCCTTAATATAAGACTTATTTAACTAATTTAATTAAATTAAGGAAGTTAGGTAAGTTAGTTAATCATAAGAAGTATGACATGTTTTTTCTAAAATATTTAATAATCTTTCTTAATATCATTTCTCCCTCTTCTACTTAATTATGATTAAGAGAGTATCTATAGAGGTAATTTAGAAAAAATTAATAAATATGAGAAATAAATTTTATATTTAGAACCAAAATTAATTCAGCAATTATGTCTTATATTAAGGGAAGAATATAATTTTAACTTTTGTAGAGAACTTCTAAAAATTCCGATAGTGCTTGAACTTGTATAATTTTTTTCGATGGATCTTAAACTTGTATAATTAATAAGTAGTGTATTCAATCCAATTACGATAAATGGATTTTAAATTAAAAAAATAAAAATGTTAATTACAAGAATTAGTCATAGGATAAAATAAAGCTAAAAAATACACATTTTAATTTAATTAAATAAAACACCTTCGGCATATAAACCTCAGTGCCTAAATTTTCTCCTTGATGATAGTGTTTATGTATTTTCTGCAGTCTTACCTTGCGAAAGTCAATTCCAAAAACAGGGAAGGATGTGAAGCATGAAGCTGAATGCTAGAAATCACAAGAGGACATTCAAGGCAAAGACCAATGGGACAACTTTGACAACTACCAGAGAATTTATTCAACACTTCTTTCATAAATTATAGAAATGAGAATTATTTCTCGCATGACATGTCTAGGGTATTAGAATACATTCTGATCAACCATAAAGTACCAGGAGATCAACTTTTTCTCCATGGCATCTTCTGATCATCAATCACCTTTCTTTTTACCCTTTTACTCTCTGATTTTTGCAGCTGATCAGAAGGAAAAAGTTGATCTTTTCTGCACTGAGATGTTAATCTGTCAACCAAGTGTTTTCGCTTACGTAGTACAGTCCTAAATAAATAACATCCTTAATGCTGCTCATGAAAAGAATTTAGTCTGAGGTAATTAAAAAAAAGGGGGGGCGTGTCTTCACTGTGCACCACAGGCTAGAGCTATTATTGACCTCAACGAGACAACCAAGCACCATCACATCAGCCTCCTTCAAATTCCTTAGTGTATAATCCTCAGGGCTTGATATTGTTGCGTGTAAAGGAATTTCAAATGTCATACAGATACTATTGGGGCATGATCATCAATGCTGGTGTCTGCACGTAGGCTGTTCCTCTAGGATCTTCCACAGGCTGAAAAACAAAATTTGTGCAAATGGGATTAGTTGAAACCAGTACCAGACCTTCTGAATAAAGCAGAATGAATCTTAAGACTTGGAACAGCATTTTGAGGAGGGTTTCAAATACCAAGTTGGCTCTCACTAACACTTACTCTACCCTGCATGAAAATTAGATCAGTAGTAGAATAAAGACGCATGCATATCTATATACTGAATTAGGTATGAAATATGCCCTGTCACTTTTAAAGTGGTCATTGGTGTACTTAATGATTGTTCATCCGTCGTGTGTCTGAGCAGGAAATAGAGATTACCGAGCACTTCATGATCTTCAAAGCCGTACATGTACCCTTCAGAGAGTGAGAACAAACGGAGGGGCATCCCTTCTTGGACCAGCAACAGAACGATAAACATAAACTTTATCAGCTTTACTGTTATCAATTCCTTCTTCCTTTATCACTTCCACATTCAACCTGGGCATTTCTTTGGCCAAATATCTAGCGCCATTCATTGTCACATTGCAGTCTGACATCCACAGCGACCTCATTGATTCATACTTCTCCAAACCCGATAGAAGCGCCGCATTGCCAAATGGACTGTCCCTTATCTCTAGTTTTCTCAGCTTTGGACAACCTTCCAGCACACATTGCATACCCCAATCACTGCTTCCAGCAAATGCCACTGAAAGTGTTTCCAAGTTTTTGGCATACTTCCCTGTATACTCAAATGTTAGGTCAGTCAACAAACCTGACACTGCAAGCCTCTGGAGTTTTGTGCAGGTCTTTACAACTGCCCCGAAAGCCTCATCCATAGGCTCATCTGTTTGATAATCTGGCTGATGAGGGTTCATTATACAAAGACGGAAATGAGTGAAGTCTGGACAGTTTTGAACAACAGTAGCTACAGCAGCGTTAGTCATCTGACGGCAAAAGTAGAGAACATAGTGTAGTCTTGGACATCCACTAGACACAGCAATAAACCCGGCTTCAGTAACTCCATGGACAATACCTTCATCAAAGGGATCTGCAGGAAAAACACGCAGTTCCTCAAGCAAAGGACAGTATGATCCAACAGCTTCCAGCCCCTTGTCTTCCACTGTGTCCAAGACCTGTTTCAGAAATTTAATCAATAACGTAGACGTTTCTAGGCCTGTGTGCGGGTGAAAGAGAAGGACACTGCTATACTAACTGGGAAAAACAAGAACAAACGAGAAAGAACTTGCCTGGAGCTATCTTTGAAGACGTGTGTTAAACCTTATATGGAGAATGGTTTTGGAAAGTGCTATGACTATTTTAAGGGGTTAAACATGTGTCTAATTGTTTTATCAAAGCTAGATATCTCAAATGGAATGAAGACTGAATTCAATCCCAGGTAGCACATTAATTAATAGCAAGGGAAAGAGAAGGCATGCTGATTTCTCTATTCAGAAAGTTCTGTACAAAATAAATCTATATGTGAAAGAAAACAGGTCAAATTACATACCCAGAGGCGCCTAAGATTTGGACAGTGAACAAGGAGCTTAGCAAGGTCATCTCCGTCAAGGGTAGAATAACTCAAATTCAAGAAAGTGAGATTTGTGCAAGCAGGGTACAGAACTGGAAGAAATTGTGCCGTAGCTTCCCATAAACCAGATAGGGTGTGAATATTTTTACAATTGTTGAATGCAGTTTCCAGCTCAGAGTACTGCTGCGCTGTCAGCTCTTCTGAAAATGTGCCAGTACCGAGCTCCACTAATTGAGGAGCATGAACAAGCAACCTTTGTAATTGTTCCAATGTTATGCTTTTATTAACCTTCAAAGTCTTAAATGATTTGCACCTACTGACAAGCCTCTCAAGTGCATCAAAATTTACATCACTTTGCAGGTTGGCAAAGTTAAGTACTTCCAGCGATGTGAAGCTCTCAGGGAAACAGCTCAACCAATTACCACTTCTATCTTCAATGCCATTCTCCTGAATGTCAAGCTCTGTCAAGTTCCTGCAACCAAGTAGAACAAAACTCAAGGGTCAAATGCAGCAATGAGCCCATAAATTAAGAGGCTTATAGAAAGAATTTAATTGATTAATTCAAATTGCTAGTTAGTAGTTACACCTGACGATGACTGGGGAGAATGCATATATATACCGTGCTAGTTAGAGCTTGAGAAATTAGCATAAATCGCAAGTCAAATCAGCCAGGTGCTTGCATCTTACTCGCATATCATTCTATTACCATGCAATTCAAGGTTGTAACTGCTAGGAATGTAAAGTTCCGCAGAACATTGCACGGATCTCCCAGCATTCCAACTAATTGATCTTTATACTGATGAATTTTTTCCCTTGTCACC